ACAGTTATTTTTATAATATCTTTAGTTTTTCATGCCTGAATTCCTATGTGTGCATATGTCTGTGAAGGTGAGGTTTGGAGCAAGCAATTTGTTTTGACCTTTTTTAAGACTGGTTTTATGATCCATAAACATATGGAAGAAAACTAGTTGAAGGCACTTTTAGGCTTGTCATTTAAATATTTCAAGCATGTTTTATCTTCTTGGTAAGAAAGACTCTAAGCTCCTTTAGGGAGGAATCCTGTCTACTTTCTTTAATTCTATCCAGAGCTGTGCATATACACAGGTAGCTAGAACACTGTGGGACTGAGTTTTAATCTCCTGATTTTCATTTATGCCCATCAACTGTAGGTCTAAGATCAATTATAATGCTTTGTCTTGCCACCTGTTTCTCTGCTTTTTAAAATAGATAAGTATTTATTTTAATGTACATTTTGCAAATATAACAAGCACACCAAACTACAGGATTTTGTGAACACTGATGATTAAGATGATTTTAAATGTGGTATGTATATAACTTGATTTGTTTTAAATAAGTTTGTTTAATATTTCAAATGAAGTGAGTTAATATAAAGAAATACATTAGGCACACAGTTTTACACATTGTTCTTGTACATGGCAAAGAAAAATATGACTCAAGATTGGAAACAGGTTTACAGAATTCACACACAATTGTTTTTTGTGTAATAGAACCGATACTTAGTTAAAATTAATCATAAGATGACCCAGTTGTAAACACTTTGAGGGTAGAGAGTGTGTTTTTTATTCACTGTATTCTCTGCAACCCAACCCACTACCTTACATACATTTAGTTCTCAATAAATATTTCTTGAATTTAATTAAGAATGGACTAAAACAGTGGTATTTTGTGTTCATGTTAGATACCTGTAGGTAAGAAAAAAACAAGGTAGCAACCAAGTGTTTTCTGTATCTTCATGTAAGCTCAGGGGCTCCAGCTCAATATAGTTTTTCTATATCCTCATGTGTGTCTTCACCATTTTATCTTCTAGGCTGAGCCTACCACAGCACTCAATTATTTGTTCGATAAAGAAAAGATGTATCAGTGTTTTTGACCAGGAATTCAGCAATACTTGGTGGTTTTGAATAAGTTTCAAGGGACCAGTGTTTAAATTGGGCCAGCCAACCATATTATCAACCAAAACTGCCAAAAGTAGTTTAAGGAATAAAAACCATTTTTGACATTAATATCCTGCTCTACTCTTTGAAAACTGGTATTGAATCCATGATCTTATTTGATCCTCACAACAATTGTAGGAAGAAGAATGGGCAGATAGGGTTCAATATTGATAACAGATGTGAAAAGGGCTATACATTTTTAAATTATGATTCTCATTTTTCAGATGAAGAAGCTGAAATGGCTAAGTCCTGAACTTAGCTCTCCAACCTCTAAGTCCAGTGCTCTTTCCACTTCAAAATTGTTTTCTTTTTTTTTCCCCCTTTTTTGGTCATTCCTTATTCCTTAGGCAACTTTTACGCCAAAGTCAGAGGGATGAGAAAGAGAAGAAAGGGCTTTGAGAACTAGTAGTGAACATTTATTGAGTTCTTATAGTGAATCAGAAATTGTATTTTACCTATAATTCTCAAAGCAATCTGGAAGAGAGGCACTATTTTTCTATTATTTAAACTGTACACAGGAGGACTCTAAAGCTTTAGCCAAAGCTGATTTATATTTGCCCAAGAGCTCACAGCATGAGGGAGACCTCAGCTAAGTCTGACCCTAGGGGGCTGAGTTTTTAACCATCACACTAGGCTGCGCTCCATTAAAAGGCCCCACGGCTTATTTTACGAATGAGACACCTGAGGCCAGAGAGGTAGATTTGCTCCGTATCCCTCACTGAATTGTGAGGACAGAACCTGGACAAAAAGCCAGGTTTTCAGGGCTCTAAGGGATCTCACGACGCCTCTGGCTTTGCACCTTAGGGATGTGCCAGTCTACAGACGGAAGAAGTAACAACCTTGCTAAGGTCATAGGGCGGGTTAATAGAGAAAGACTGAAACCTGTCCACTAAGACCTGTTCCCGCGCTCCGATGGCTGTGCAACAGGGTTAAGAAAAAAGGTCGAGAGGCTCGGGGGCGAGGTGGGGGGACATCGCCTCAGTAACAGGCAGACCCAGAAGTACGACCACGTGGGGGAGCCGCGCGCCCTACCTGGAAGGGCCCGGGCCCGGCCCCCGGCGGCCACGCGCTCACAGGCAGGTTTTCCAGGCCGTGCGCGATATCCAGCTGCTGTGGCGGAACCGCAGGCTCCTCTTCAATCGCTGCCATCCGGAAAGGCCGCGTCTTCTCCACGGCTTCCACGAACATTCACGCGCCTCACGCCGCACCCACTACCCTGACAGGCTCGAGCTCGCAAAGGCTGCTGGGACTCGTGGGTCCCGGGGCCCCACCGCCTCATGGGAGTTGTAGTTGTCGCCTCCTCGCAAGCGGCCAGTGAGGGCGCGTCTCGTCGGTCGCTCAGCTTTCCTTGACTTTTTCAGTCTGGCTCCCTGGTTGATTTGAGCCAGAAGCACAACAGATAATTACAAAACCGTGTAAGGTATGGACAACACCTCGGTAACACGAAATAAAAGGCTTTAGTTTTCCCTGGGAGCATCAGGGAGAGGGCTTTGGAGGCGACGCCACTTGCGCAGGTTTTTGAGGACTTAGGAGACGTTTGCGGGCGTGGAGGGAGGGGCCGCGTTCTAAGCCGAGGGGGGAAATGCACAGCAGGGTTTCCAAAGAGGGGAACGTGCGTGGAAGTTGAAGGACACATTATGGGGCCCCGTAAGGAATTTGTGTTGGGTACGCCCACCCGCTGAGGAGAGGTCTGTTCCCGGTTGCTCTGTTTCCCCCTTCCCCTTTCCCCCTTCATCCTCCCTCCACCCACCCCACAAAAACTCTCCTCCCTGCCGGAAGATTCTGGTAGCCTCAAAATTGCTGAATCCAGTGGAATATTTTAAATCTTGCCAAAGCTCTCTGACATGATTGTCCTACTTCTTGAACCCCTCTCGCCTCCATTCCTATGGCTTCCAATATTAATACAAAGGATTAGGCCGTCAGCCGCTAACCCTGAGGGGATGTTTCTCTTTGAATCCAGTTATGCATCCAGCTAAGCGTTGGGCGTTCTGCGTTCTGTCCAACAGGCTCCTCAGGCTCAAAACAACCGGAATTGACTTCTGCAAACCTTGCTTTTTTCCTTCTTTAAAATCAACTGGGAAAATAATTTGTTCAGGATCTATAGAACCACCAAAGCAACAAACCAGTTTCGCTGTATTCCTTCTCCTTATACTCTCATGCTAAGGACCTCGTGGCCAAGTCTTACTGATTCCACTTCCATGATGTTTTTATTTTCATTCCTTCTTACGTGTTCCCAGACTCTCATTTCTTGCTTGGATTATTGAAGTCATTTTCTTCAATACCCCCAAATCACCCTTACTGTCACTGCTATAATGATCTTTTGAAGATCTGTTATGTTTTGCTCCCTAAAGCCCTGTTTGCTCAATTTTCTCTCAAAGTCTACCTTCTATATTTTGCCTTATAAGGCCCGTGAAGATCCAGACCATACTGATTTCTTTGGTCTCTATTGCTGCTATTCTCTGTTTTGGACCCTTTGTTGTATTGATATTTTTTAAACAAGCCATGCTACTTGGACCTCTGTGCCTTTGTTCATGTTGTATGGTGTCTGTCTGTGCAGCTCGTGTCCCCTTCTCTATATCTTTCCTGACCTCGTGAGGGTGGGAAACCTACGGCCTCAAGGCCACACGTGGCCCTCCAGATCCTCAAGTGCGGCCCCTCGACGGAATCCAAACTTCACAGAAGAAATCCCTTTATTAAAAGGATTTGTTCTATTAAATTTGGATTCAGTCAAAAGGCAGCAGGTTCCCCACATGGGGAAAGATCCAGAAGGCCATGTGGCCCCAAGGCTGCAGGTTCTCCACCCCTCATAAAAATTATACATGTACGGGGGCAGGGAGAGAGAGAAGGAGAAATATTTTGTTTTAACTTAAATGATTTTGGTACATTTATTTGCTAGTCTTTTGATATAAATGGGGTGGGGTGGAGTGGAGAGAGGGAGGAAAAGGTACTGTACTGATTAGAGTTTCACGTCAAGCTTACTCTGAGTTTCAGTTTTGGTATCTTTAAAGTGAGGGCCAGGAACTAAAAGATAGGGAAGCAATCTGAGATCATGACCACCCCTCCCCCCTCACACCCCCCCTCCCAGTCTTTTATACTTTTCTCACCTACACCCACTTCAATGACAAAACACTTTTTAGTGACTTGCCTTTTTAAAAATCTTTTCAGAATGTTCTACTTAATTTCCCTAGAGGGGAAAAACTCTTTGTATTCATAGTTCATCATCTTTTCCTCAGGTGATTACAATAACAGTTATACCTGGTGTTAAGAGGTTTGGGAACAGACACTAAAATCAGGCTTATAAATGTGGGTATCCATGAGCAAGTAATAAAGCCACCTTTTTTTACTGAAGTACACATCTGATATAAAAATACTTTTTCTGAGAGCAGGTTTAGAGGGGAAAATAGGGAATTCATTCTATATAGAAAAAAGCAAATTGTAATGGTTAAGGGCACAGGATCTGGAATCAGCATGCTTAAGTTCATATTCCTACCTTGCCGGTTTCTGACCATGTACAAAAATAGCTAACATTTATTGAGTTATTATTATGTGCCAGACACTGTTTAAGCACTTTACATGTACTAATTCATTTAATTCCCATAATAAGGTACTCGAAACACACACCACAGGGTCATTTTAGATTCAACTAAACATTCAAACTCACAGGACTATCATTGGCCACATCTGGCATTTAGCTTCACTCAAGGTTATAGGACAAGAGCCATATCCTGTCCTATAGTCTCCGTGACCAGCAGAGAGGCTTCAGGTGTTCCCCTTGTGTGGGAATAGTGTTTGTAGCTGTCCACACCTCAGGTCACAGAGCTGTTGGGAGCTTTCTTGTTTGTCCTCCCAGAGGGTGGCTCAAATGTAAGAAGAAGAGATCCTCATTAATAGGATGTGCGGGCATCCTGAATTAGAAGTCTTACTCCATAGGAGCCGCAGACTTTAAGGTAGTCATGTAGTAAATATTTTATCAGATACAGTTGTGCACCTGCTCTTCCTTAAAAGAGGAGATAGGGCTGGGTGCAGTAGCTCATGCTTGTAATCCTGGCACTCTGGGAGGCTGAGGTGGGAGGATTGCTTGAGCTCAGGAGTTTGAGGGCAACCTGAGCAAGAGCCAGACCTGTCTCTAATAAAATTAGAAAAATTAGCCAGGCAGCATGGTGGCACGGGCATGTAGTCCCAGCTACTTGGGAGGCTGAGGCAGGAGGATTGCTTGAGCTCAGGAGTTTGAGGTTGCAGTGAGCTACAATGACAGCACTGCACTCTCCCCAGGGTGACAGAGTGAGACTCTCTGTCTCTCTCTCTCTCTCTCAAAAAAAAAGGAGTTGGTAACTTATGTAATACAATTAGCTGGTTGTAGTGTAATTAAGAAACATAGGAGGGTTTAGGTAAAGTGCTATGGAACTGCAAAAGTAGGAAAGATTACTTCTAGCTGGGGAGATCAGGGAATGCTCCATGAAGAAGAGGCCCTTTGTCATAGGCCTTGAAGGATGGGTAGGATTTGGGCATTCTAGCCAGAAGGAACAGCAGGAGCAAAGGAATAAAGAGAGAGATGTGTATAGGAAAGAGTAATTTCAGATTGGCTGGAGATAAAGTTCCTCTCATTTTTCAGGAATTATGAACAATAAGGGAATTTTGCAGATATTCAAAGGACATGCTGTTCTTTCATTTTAAGAAAATCTTTCGAACACTGATTACATGTATGGTGCTGTTTACCAATTTGGGAATGTACACATGAAGAAGACATGGTGCCCTGGGAAAGCTTGTAATCTAACAAATGACTATATACTTACAGAAAATAATAAGAACTGTAAGAATGTTATGAAGAAAGAATTATGGGAGCCATGAGGAGAACCACATTCCTGTATTTTTGGACTATTGTACCATTTTTATTTTTTAACTGTTTCTTGGTCATAATGTCTGCCCTTTGGAAAACTGTTTTGAAGGATCCATTTTATCTTATTTTTTCTGAAGCTGCCAGTGATGGTGCTTTCAGAATAAGATATTTAGTTCTTGTTGTCCCTTTGGTTTAATTTGTTTTTATCTTGCTGGCAAAGGATCCAAAAGTATTTTATAGAATGTGAGATTAAAATAATGAGAGGATATTTTCAGGCTGATATAACCAATCTTCAGAATGCCCAGCAGTCAGTTTTTCATCTTTTCCAGATCTAGAAACTATCTTATTTTCTCTAGACACCTGTTCTTCACTGACCAGGAAACTTGATCTTCAAAATTTGTTCTGAAAACCATTATAGATGTTGGAAAAAATGTATTTTTTCACATTAATGAGTTGCTCAAATAGATTGTAAGAAATGGGCCCTGGACCTGAATATTACATTGATTATTCAGATTTCTTTTGGCTTTTTCACTGGCAGAAGAGAAACTAATCAGATCAGAAATTTTAAAAAATAAAAGAAAAAGAAAACAATACAGTATGGTAAAACTCTGACATTCTGTAAGTTCAGTTTTCTGGATAAATTATGGGATATGACTATATGATCTTTCCATTTTTTGACAAAAATGGCCTTTAATTGGGCAGTTTTCATGCTTTTATTTTGCCAGAGTTTTTATGAAGTTCTGTATGGCTTTGAATTCAGAAGCCATTTCTTCATCAAAGTCCCACTGGCATTATGTCAGCCTAATCTTCTGGGAGGTACTTTATAGCCAGTGATGAAAGGTCTAAAGTCAGTAGAAGTTATATATTTGTTAGCATAATGACATCATGAATAGAATAGTTTGGAATATCCTAGCCTTACAGTAAGAACTATCACTATCAGATATTAAGAAGGAGTGGTATAGGCACTGGATCCTCTTATGAAAAAAGATTGTGTGTAAATGAAATAATTTTGACAACAAAACATGATTGTTGATACTTTTGGGGATTTCTGTCCAGCTCAGTGACTATTTCCCTTGTAAGAACATGCCAGCGCCCACCTGACCCATTCACTGGTGGTCGTGTTAATATTACACTGTTAACCCCTAAGCCTTGGCCCAAGCTTTTGGCTTCCTGGTGTACACCTGATTCAATCTAGGCCAACTGGATTCTCTTGGTGAGGAGTTGAGATCAGATAATAGCTAAAACTGTATTTATGTATTTTGGGAGCTGAGTGGTAGCTTTATTTGGTATATGGTTGGAGAAGCAGAGGAAAGTCAGCCTATCAAAAGACAAATAAAGCAGAGTGACGAGG